ATAAGGTATAAGGGTTTGCAGAAGGACGTTGCGCGACTAGTTGCCGCCATGAGCTCAGCACGCTCTTCCGGTTGCTTGCGGGCTTACCCTAAACCCTTAACCCTTAACCCTAAACCCTAAGCCCTAAACTCTAAGTTGTTCGGGACAACTTCGCCAGGGTCTACGCTTTTGTTCCCCGCCCATGGAGACTATATCCGGCAGCGCTAGCAGTTCGTCAAAGCCGCGGCGGTGCCGGAAGGTTCAAAAAGGACGGCCGGCAAGCTTGTCACTGGCAGGCAAAGGCCATCTGGAGGCAAGCAGGGTAATACTCCCCTCCAGAGAAAGACAAGTTCGCGATCGAATCAGCAGCGCCCCTATAAATGGTTCCCTGAACCTCGAACCTGGTTGGGGACTTAGTTAATCGCTTCCCTATTTTATTAAGCACCCCTATAATTATGAACACACATTGGGGCGAATCCTCCCGCAACCATCCCTGCCCTTTCAAACCTCTTCCGAATAAAAGGGGAGGGTTTCGAGATTCGAGGCTCCAAATACCCTTAGAGCACAGTGGGAGCAAGAGCAAAAGCAAGAGCAGGAGTTAGAGCAAGAGCAGAAGCAAGAGCAACAGCGGGAGCATCAGCAAGAGCTAAGCAAAAGCAAGAGCGGGAGTCAGAGTAACAGCAGGAGCAACAGCAAGCCGCGAGAGACGCAGCAGAAGCAAGAACAAAAGGTAGCGTGGGAGCAAGAGCCAGAGCAGGAGCAAGAGCACGACCCCTCAAAAGTGGCAGTAGAGATAAAGTTACCACGCAGAAATAAACAGTTTGCGAGTTGTTGTTGTTGTTTTTTTTTTTTTTTATGGGGGCGTACCCCCCCTGTGTAATATCAATTGAGGGGAAAATCTTCGGACCTTCGGACCTTTTCACTTGTTGTAGCGTCCCTAGGCTTTTTTTTGCGATCGGGCCGGAGAAGGTTATCTTTTGGAAAGGGTTCGAGGTGCATGATAAACCCTAGATCTAAACCTAAACCCTGAAACCCAAGGCCCAAACCCGGAAACCCTACCAAAACCCTGAGAGGAATCCTTAACGGAGCCCAAAACCCTCCCAGGGCGGTGCAAGAAGTTGAAGTCTGACACTTTCCGAGGTCGTTAGGGGTTAGGGAATTAGGGTTTTGGGAGAGTAGAGTGAGTGTTGGAGTTTTGGGTGACAGGGTTCAGACTTTAACAGGGACGTAATTGGAATTGCCTGGTTTAGAGTTTTGGGTTTAGTCTAAACCTAATAACCCTGATCGTGACATAGGTTTAGGCCTTTGGGGTTGGAGTTGGATTTGGGTTTGGGGCCGGTCTGCTGTAAGTCGGTACAGAAGATTAGGGTTTAGGGTTTAAGGTTGTCCTAATATCAGTCAGGCATTCCAATGCATAGGGTCTGTGGTGGGTGGGGCGTCCTTTACTTGATGAAACTCCCGCATCAGCAGCTGTGTGCTTTCACTTCAGGTCATTGGATGGAATTGGCTCGATGTTGAGGGGCACAAGAAAGCCCCAAGGCGGCAGGACATAACTAGGATGTTTACCTGCGCTTCTGGCTTCACGTCCGATTCATGAATTCTTCACTTGCAAGCTAAAACGTGTCACCGCGAGTTTCCCATGAAAACTCCAGATGCTGCAAGGTCCATCCCGCGTTTTGGCCTTGATTTTTTGGCTCAATGTCATTCGGCACGGCAACATGCCCAGGGGCGAAGAAGGTGCAGGGAAGATCAGGGCTCTCATGTCGGGCCTTCATGTTTCAATACCTGAGCGAGTGACCATCAGGTCTATGATGGCATGATCGAAAGAAGGCTAAACCTTGAGGGACGAAAGGGCTGAAGAGTTCGGAGATTTTCGTGGAGGGGGGGTGAGTGTAGAGGTTAGGTGCGGAGCCGGTAGCGATGGCCATGAGAAGGCAGGAGCAAGCTGGGGCTTGAACTTCAACCACCTTTTAGTAACAACATCCTGCTGCAGTCCTTGTTATTCTTATGGAAGTTTATCATAGTAACAATCATAATGTATGCTGAAATTTACGATAAAGCCCGGGCCTAGCCCAATCATGAGGCCCCCGGCGGGAACACTCTTCTTGAGAGTCTCGGAAGAGGGGGCAAGTTGTCAAAGCCGAAAGAAGCAATCAGAAATAAATCCGTCCTTGCACCCCTGAGAAGCTAAGTCCATGAAGCCCCATGGGTAGTTCTCTAAATTAGGGTCCCATTTTAGGTCCCCAATATAGTACGGCACCCTTATAAACAGGACCCCAAAAGGGACCCTAATTTAGAAAACTACCCCCATAGTGATTTGAGCCTCCGACCCTGCTGGACAAGTGCAATTCTGTGCAGCCGTGAGAATCGAAGCAACGATCGCATCCCTTGGTGCTACAGTAGAAGCCGAAAAGTTGGAAACCCAATAGCAGAACTGTGTAGGGAATCCCAGCACGATTTGTCCTTAATCCGGTTTCCAACTCTCTGTGGGTTTGCTATAGCTCACTGTTATGTATGACTCTGCAAGAGGCCCCTCACCTAGAGAGCCCAGCACCCCCTGAATAAGAAATGTATATATATATATATATATTTATATTTATATATTTATATTTATGTTTATATTTATATTTATATATATATATACACATATTTTTACATATTATATATATCTATACCATAAACTATAGGGGCCCTAATATTATGATT